AAAAGGGCAACCAAGAATCCTGCAAGGGGCCTGTCAGAACGTTCGGAAGGCAAAGGACAGGGTGAGACAAGACTCAGAAGCAGCAGCACTACTGGCCATTAAACTCAGGAAAACAATATTCAATCCCTAACAAGCAAAGAAATGCAAATAACAAAGAAATGCCATTTTTCTGCCCATTTGAGTGACAAAGATTGTTTTAATGATGACACCCAATGTGTTTGAGGGTGTCAGGAAACAGGTGGGGCATCTCAAAAATCACTGGGGGAGTGTAAATTACTATAGGCTTTTCAGTGGGGGGACATTTTTAGCAAAAGCCTCAAACTGTTAATAGTCTTTGACCTAGTAATTCCATTTCTAAGACTTTATCCTATAGGAACAATCAGAGATGTGAACAAAGAGAAATATTCAAGGATTTAAATAACAGCATCGTTTTGGATAAAGAAATACTAGACATTACCTAAATACTTAAATAATTAAAAACAAGTACACGGCAAACGTAAAATGGAACAAAAACGGACTTTTAAAACACATATAGGAGAAGTTTGCTTTTCCTGGTATAGACAGGAACAAGGGTTACTCTGCCTGGCTATTTCTTGCATTCAAGGTAATAACAGCCCTTTTTACCTTTCAAGGGGCAGCAACATCCAGTATCTCTCTTGAACCTCAGAGCACAGCATGATTGCTAGTTATTAGTCCCACGTTGTAGATGAGAAAATGAGGCTTAACAAAATGAGGTAACTTTCCCCCCACCAATGTTAACTACTCCTTACTGAAAACCTACAACATGCCAGTCTCGCCTCTTTCGCATGTTATTATGCATTTAATAAAATTTTAGAAACATTTAACAAATGTGCAAGACCTGGTGTTAGTTGCTAAGGAAACAGCACTGAACAGGACACTTTCTATTAAACATGTGCTGGATACATTAACATTAATGTATCCAACGACACTATCATCGTGAGGCCCATTCTGCAGATGTGCAAACTGAGGCTCAGGAAGGTTATGTGGCTTGCCCCAAGAACGCCTGGCCTCAAAGCCAAAGATCACACACTTCCCATTATTCCCGGAAACTGTCTAAACTGCACAATCATCTCGACGTCACCCAAGGGAAGGCAGAGGACCAGGCGCTCCCTGTCTATGGTAGGGGAGGGAGGGAGGCAAGAAAGGCCAAGCCTTGATGCCCAGCCTCTCCTGCACCTACTGTCAACAACTAACGCAGGGAAACAGATCCCATTTCTCATTAAGCTTCCTCTCCCCTCTCCAAGAGCTGCCTTACCCAAAGGGGCGGAACTGTTTCCTGCCTACTTAGAGCCAGTTGCGGGTTCTTGAAAGCCCCCACCCCCATATCCAAGTATCTCGCTCGCTAGCCTTACCCTGACTAGAATCCCACCATTGGTAACTTTCAGGTGTGGGAACTCCAGGCAATATTCCTGAGAAGGGGTCATCAATCTCCAACTCTGCACACAGCAGCCTCGCATGCCTGCACCTGGCTTGCCCACATTTACATGACCAGCTCTGCACCGGGCCAACTGGGAAGAATGGGAAGGGGCGTGGGGACAGCCACTTCAGAGTAACTACAGGGGTAGGGGGACAGGTTGGGAGCCAGAGGGGGCACACTCTCAGAGCCTGTGTGGGCCAGAGTCACCCAGAAACAGCGGCAGGGAGAAATTGCAATATTGCCAGCTGACCCTCCTAGCTACTCAGGAACATTAATAAATGAGTGACTTGGAAATTATCTTCTGGGAAGACAGAAACACCACATCCTGGATGGCTTTTACCAACATTAAAACAGCCTTGTAAATGAAGCGGCAACATTTCCAGCCTGCAAAACAAAAATGCTTCTGCCAGCACACCTTTCACCTGGAAAATCCCTGAGCAGCATTCATTTCTGTTATCCAGGAGAAATGATCACCTGTCCTTGGTGCACACTTCAAAAACCTCTGAAGAAGAAATGAGTGTCTAAGGGGGCCAGAGATTTGGGAGACCAGCTAGAAACCTCCCCTAAACCATCTCAGGAAAATAAGTACAAAGGCTCAAACTGTCCTGTGGCTCTCGAGACCCCCAGAGCCCAGCTGTGCCCAGCAAGCCCTGGCTGGCCTGACTCCAGCCTCACAACCAGACATCAGCCCTCTCCCCCAACCAGCCTGGCTCAGTGTCCCCACCCCTGAGCCAGACTCCTTTCCCAGGGAGCCAAAGATCCTAGCACAGAACCAACTGGTTTCCAGCCTCCAGATGAGAGAATTCCAGCACAAAAAATAACCTCCACAACACAGCAGTTTGCAGAACACAGGCAGACAGCGTGCAACAAAGCCACTTTAGCATCCCTAAAGCAGACAGCGTTATCCAAAGTCTGAACCCAAGTGGCCGCCCCAGAGTGCCCTGTGCTGTTTATCGAAAGGGGAAGCCATGGGGACCAGGGCTCCCACTCGCCACCTTAGAAGCTCCCACCCTCCTTCCTGTTCCTGCACTTACCCCCATGGGGTCCCATGGAGCCAGGATCCACCCCCCTCTCTTCACTGTTAAGCCGAGCCAAAGGCAGCCCATTCTGTCTTCCCAGCCTTCAAGAGCACAACCACACCACATCGGAGAAGAGGGAGGCTCCTCTCCATTCACCCAGGTTTGACCATGAACGGTCTTTTCTTTTG